AGAATTAGCCCTTGTTTGACACCCAATTTGGAGAAGAATTTGATTGAAATAATGATTGATGGAAGAATGTGTGGTTAAAAAGTAAGGAGAATTATGTGTAATATTATTTTATTAACAGAATGTGTGGTTGAAATGAAGAAAGAGAGAAAAAGAGAAAAAGAGAATAATAAAAAAAAATGGATGTCAAACAAGGGCTTAAGGGTCACAAAAGATTACATTGTGTAACGCCCCGAGTTCCATGAACCCATATTACCACATCATCGTCTTTTGTAACTGAACTAACTAAAAAGATTTGCGAAAAATAACTAAATTTTAAACATCACATTTATAACGGTAAAATCTCGTCGGCAACAAAACTCATTTGATTAACTTAAAAAATTTGATTAAATTTTAAATCTTGAGTTTTTGAAATAACAAGGTACATTAATAACGTTCAAATACGTAATTTTTCAAATGTAAATAATTTCGACTATTAATTTATGCCACCACTGCCCATCACACTCGATCGTCTCCAAAATCTGCAAATATTGTTAAAATAACGGAATGTGTATTTCGATGAAATACTCAGTAGACTCATCGCCGATAATTAATTTACGGAATAATTGAACACATAATCATGCAATTCATATCGTGACATCATCATATGCTCATTTTCTTAAAAATCATAGGCTCTTTAAAACATAGGGTGTGGGTAGTCTCGTCTCGTGCTTTTAAACACATAAGTTATATATAACATTCTCATCTTATCTCATAAGAGATTCTCGTCTTCTTCTCATGCAATAAAGCATATAAGTTATGGCAAGCATAACAATATCATATATCTCATATTCTCATCTCATGCATCAAAGCATATAAATCACGTAAATTCACATAATACATGCAATTATAATTTAAACTAATTAATGGTGACGAGTCTACCTCAAATTATCTCGAGTCTCGTAAAAAGTGGAGCGGGACGTAACCTCAATCTCCTAATCGTCCGTACGTTTCGTCTAGCCAAAATAGAAATTAGGTTTTGAATTAGTATTCCGAAATTTAAAGTTTAAAGCGATAAAATAAAATTTAGTGACCTAATTGGATATTCATTAAAACTGAATTTGACAAATATAGGGGCTGAAAATAATAATTTCAAAGTAGTGGGGCTAAAAGTGGGAAATAAGAACTTAGGGACTTAATTGAAAACTATTGAAACTGAAAATAAAAGTTTAAGAGTTGAAATTGAACTTTTAAGAAAAATCAGGGACTTAATTGGGAATCTATTAAAATTGGAAATAAAGATTTAAGGACTAAAATTAAACTTTTAGAAATCAGGGACTTAATTGGAAATCTATTAAAACAGAAAATGAAAGTTTATGGTTGAAATAGTAACTTTTAGAAGTTAGGGACTAAACTGTAAATTTATTAAAGCTGAAAATAAAAACTAAAAGGGCTGAAATAGACTTTTTATAAATTACGGACTTAATTGAACATTTTTAAAATGTTGGGACTTGGGGCTAAAATTCAAAAATAAAAAATAAAACAAAATCTATTTCTCTCTCTCTCTCTCTCTCATATTTCGAACCAGAGAGAGAGCGAGAGAGAGAGAGCTCTCGATGGGAAGGGGCTCTGCCCCTTCCTCCATCCTAACCGCCGGCGAAGCGGCGTCAGTGCCACTGTCGCGTGGTGGTGCTGGTGTGAGGGTGGTGGCTGGGAGGGATTTTGGCGTACGAGTCAAAGAACCGAAGCCTTGGAGGTTCGATTTCAAACTTCTTGGTGGAACACAGTTGAAAAATGGGTTGGGGATTAAAGTATGTTCATGGGTTTTTGGTTTTGCTTGGTTTGTTGGGTGTAAATTTTGGGTTGAAATGATGGCTGTCGGTTTTGGGAGTTCGGTTTCTTGGTGGTTCGAATTTGTGACTGTGGCAGCTGCGTTGGAGGCTGCAGCTTGGATTCGAATCTTGGTTTGAGGCTGGAATGTGGATTGGATGGTTTCTGCTGGACTATTTGAATGCAGCGCGTGTGGGTGCATTGGGTTTGAGCTGGGTTGGAGGTCTGTTGGTTGATGTACGTTGGTCTAGTGAGTTGGAGGTGGTGAGGTGTAGGTGGTGTTGTGGTTGAGGAGATGGTGGTGTTGATCTCGTGGGTGAGCTTGGTAGTTTTAGGTAGGGCTGTTGGTGGTGTTGCTAGTGATGGTTTGGGCAGTGAGCTTGGTCTCGGGAGTGATGGTGGTTTGAGGTGGTGCTGGTGGTGGTTTAGCTAAGGAGGTGGCGGTGTTGGAGCTAGAAATTGATGTCTTAGCTTCAACATTGGTCTCCAAATTTAATGTTGTTGGTGCTAGAAATTGATGTTATAGCATCAACATAGGTTTCCAAATTTGAGGGGAGAAACTTACCAAAAATGGTTGCTGTAAATGTAAGGAGTGGAGGGAAATGAGATAAATGAAATAGTAAAATTTCTAGGGCACAAATCCCTAGGTGTTAAGTGGGCCAAGAACTTGGGCTGTGAGAGTTTTTCCTAGTTGGCCCTACGTGGTTTGGACCTAAAATGATCAATATTTGGACTAACATAATTGGACTTTAAAACGATAAGGAATTGGATACTTTTAAAATATTCGGGATTGAGCTAAACTTGAATGGATTAAAATTGATTTTATAATGGCTAGATGAACACGCTTTCACTTTAACGTTAGGGTTTAAAATTTAGCGACACATTTTTTGAGAAAATAATTTTATAAAATTTAAAATTCTTGGTTGCTACTACTTTACCCCCTTAAAATAATTTCGTCATCGAAATTTAAACTTACTTGATCTAGAATATCTGGATACTTAGTTAGAATCTCGTCCTCTCTTTCCCAGGTAGCTTCATCGCTACCTTGTCTACCCCATTAAACTTTGATTAAAGGAACCTCTTTTTTTCTTAAGATATGGACTTTTCTCTCCACAATGCACATATGCGTCTCCTCATAAGACAGATTCCTCTAAATCGAAGCACATCACTGAATTAATCTTGAATCAACTCTTGCACCAAGGTCTTTTTCCGCTTCCAATCTTCGCTTCAATCTTGAATCTCGTGCTGAATTTCATCTCTTGATATTGCTTTTCGATTTCTCCTTGTATCTCTCTTTTTTCAATGTTTGGAACCTCTGAAAACATGCCTCTTTTTTTTTTGTTATATTTATGGTTCTCCCCACGTCCTTGGGAAAATTGGAGTCTTTTTATGGGCTTCTCACGGCCCAATTTAATAAAAACCTAATCATGCGACGCAGCGTCTAGGCTCTAGGGGGCAGCGTCCAGGCGCCGCGAAGGGTGCCCAGGCGCTGCCATGCTGCAATAAACCGTCCAGGCGCTGCCTTGCTGAAATTCTTCTGCGTCTGCTTCAGTATTTTTGTCATAACCTTTCTTCCGTTATTCGATTAAGGTGATTCAAAATGCGATGGAAAGATAACTCAAAGGGCTATAACTTTGCTAGAAATATCTCCTTTTCAATTCGAATGTTTACTATGCCAAAAATGGGTCTCAATCTCCAACAAAAAGTTTGGACATCTTTGTGCGGTTGGAAATTGATTTGTAAAAATATTTTGACCCTATTTTCACTCCTTTTGACCTTTAGTTGTATCCATTTGACCCCCTAGCATTCTTGAATCTTTATTGTGAGCTCCGACACAACTTTTAAATATTTGCACTTTAGCCCACAAACTTTGGATATTGCCCTTTTTTTTTTGCCAATTTTTCTCTTCTTTTTTTCAATTTCACTTCCATTTATTGAGTTTCACCTAATAACACATTATATAATAAATTAGGCTATAATTCCTTTAAAATAATTATGAAATGTCAATATTTTATAACCCGAATAAGCGTATAAAATACACTTATCATATGGTAATAAATAAATTTTAAGGAGATATTGATTTAATTAACCTTTAAATTAATATCTAAGATGTTAAGTGAATAATTTTGTATTAGTTACAATATGACAACAGAAAAATTGTGTCTTGTTTTGTGTATTAAAACCCTAAAATTCGTAGCCACAGTATTTTGTTTAAATAGCTTTGGACCTGTATCTTGTTTTCACATTTTTGACAATTGTCCTTGATATTTAAAAATCAATTTATATTAAGTAAAAAATAATATGTAAAAATATATTTTTTCAACAATAGATATATAAGAAAAATAACGGCTCCTAATTTTTTTTTGGATCTTGTTACATGTACATCAAGAATTACATAATAGGTTACATAATGCCACATGTCATTCTATCATTTGTCAGTTTTAAACATAGTCAATTTTTTCATCCAATCATTTTCTCCCACATCATATTATGTAACATGTTAGGTACAATTTTTATGTACAACTAACAAAATCCATTTTTATTCACTCGCTTAAGTCACTCATTATCCTTTAGAATAATGCTACATGTACATTATGGTACACATAATGGTGTCCATAATGTACCCCTATTGGGGGGATTGCATGTGGTCCAGGTGCTCTTCCCAATAGGGGGGCGCCACATATACATTATGGACACCATTATGTGTACCATAATGTACACGTAGCATAACCCTTATACTTTATTCATCATTTGGATTTGTGTGCGAGATAGAGAAGAGACAAAGAAAAGGTTATTGAGCCTGAGGATGGAGAGGGGCAGTTCGGATTGAGAATAAGTGTGAAAAGCACGAGACGATGCAGGAGAAACCAACAACAATAAATGAGGTGATGAGCCTTATGATAACATTCATCATCGTCACGTCGTTTTTCCTTCACGTATTCCCAGAACTCCCAGAATTCCACGCTCTCTCCTCTACTTTCTTCTTCCATTTCCCTCCTTTATTTTCTGATTTTATCCTCTTTTACTCTCTCTCTCGCTCTCAACATTTGGGACTGTCTCCCGTATGCCTTAATATGTAGCCCAGCTGCAGTCAACCTCGTATCTTCTATCTCTTTCTCTTCAAACCATTTTGATTTTTCATCAACAAATTAACTCTATAGAGAGGAATTTTGTCTTTCTCAAGGCATTACAAGATGTGGATGATGGGATACAATTACAGGGGAGAGTTCAATAGCATTCAAAGTCCATTTAATGGTCGAAAACTTCGGCCCATCTTTCCAAGACCAGCCTCTGCTGCTGCTATAAACCTCATTAATCGTGACACTGATCTTCTTGTTCTAAATCATCACCATCTTGGTAAGTTTGTTTCCACCATCTGTGTGTTTGTTGAAAAACCTCTATCCATTTAAGCTTTTAGATAAGTCGTCGAGCCAAAATTGTACATGTAGGCCTTAGATGAGGTGCTTTACGTAATCCTTTTCATGGGGTTTCGACTATTTATTTCAGCAGCAATGGCAGAGCAAAATAAGAGGGAGTTTAACACACAGCAGATCGTGGTGAGCTCGCGCTGGAATCCCACACCGGAACAACTTCAAACCCTCGAAGAACTGTATCGAAGGGGAATCCGAACTCCTTCAGCAGAACAAATTCAGCTCATAACTTCACAGCTTCGTCGATATGGCAAGATTGAAGGGAAGAATGTCTTTTACTGGTTTCAGAATCATAAGGCTAGAGAAAGGCAAAAACGCAGGCGTCGGTACAAATCCATATCCCACGAACAGCCACATAATAACGGTAAAAGGAAAGAATCAGGTAAAAAAATTTTAATTATCTTAATAGAATATTAAATTTCTTTTGAAGTTCTGTAATTTTCTGAAAGTTAAAAAATCATGCATGAGTAATGAGAGACAGAAAGAGAAAGAGTTGTTTGATAGTATAGACGATTCTCCTCTTTTATCCCATTTTGTAAGTTAGTATTATTAGTCACGTAAAGTTATATTGATGTTTGATTTGTGATACTTTTCTCTATTCAGATTGTTTCTTGAGGTGTGAAGTTTGCATTCTATTTTTGTTTTTGTTTTTGTCTACAGGAGCAAATACGACAATATTTGAAGTTGAACAGCCAAAAAACTGGGCATCTCCTACAAACTCTAGTACAATTGCAGAGGTCTATTTACTTTTTCTTTTTTATTTCGCATGAAAAGTTTTATTAATAACAAAATAAATAAAATACAAATTAGGAGAAGGTTCAGCTGGACATATGAAAAACAAAGAGAATAAATTTGCCTTACCCTAAAGCGGGGATCTTGCAATCTAGTCGTATGAAGAGTATATAATAAATAGAGGTCATTTTTACGTTTGTTTTAATCCTTCTTTCTTGGTAGTTTATACAAATAAACAACCTCCCAAAAAAAGCAATCATACATCAACATCAGTAATCTATTGATCAGCTAATAATAAGCACATGATTACATGATCATGCAAGAATTGGGACATATATAGGATTGAATAAAGATAATATTTAGAGGTGGAGAAGAAGCATCAAAAGCTTTGTTGTTGGGAAATGTAAAGGGTCCAAAAGAAGCACATCTTCCTTTCTGTCGAGGCTGCTATATATTGTTATAAAACAATGCTAGGGAGGACCTAGGGTTTGTTGGAAGCTGCGCTTACGCAATTATTTGGAAGAGTGATATTTTGACTTCAACTTAAATAGATCGAATAGTTGTATTCATAGTGAAAACTATAAGTAGTCGTCTCACGTAACATACATGTGTCAGTTTATTATTTAATGCATGAGACAATAAAAAATTATTATATTAATGTATCAAATAACTGTCACATGTATATTTCGTATGGCAACTACCGGAAGTTTTTACTATGAATAGCATTGCTATTGAGTTTTGATACCCAATGAATATCAGGCTATGATGCAAACGTTGGATTGAATTTCATATGCATTGACCAATGAATTAAATTGTTACAAACAATCAAGTTTAAATGCTCGACCCGAAAACAATGCTGGCTTTTGAAAGTAGTTTAAGTAATTAATATTGCTCACGATCCATATATATTATCTCTTGGATAACTTTGAATTTTGGCCCATTTAATCCTTCATTGGTTTAACTAAAGCCTAACCTAGTCTATATAATATGTTGTCTTTGCCGTAGCTATTAAGTGTGTGATTTTTGTATGAAAAGAGATAAAAATGTGCCCAAAGAGAGAGAAATCGGCTACCCGTTGAAGAAAAATCGGCGACTTCCCTTTGATTTTTTTGGTCTCTTCTCTTGCCTTATTTCGTTGTTTTTCTTCGTGCTTTGTGGCTACAAATCATCATTGTTATTTTGTCTTTTGTGGATGAGATTGAGGAGCAATCGAGGTGAATATATTAGTTGTGGGTTGTAGCCATTTGGATTGGTTGCACAGCAGAGAAAGATAACGTGAAACAGAGTTCGGAAAACACCGTTTTGGAGATCTTTGGAGCGAGGTTCCGCGACAATTACTCAATTCGATCACTCTGTTTCAAGGATGAGTTCGATCCATTAGGGACATCGGTTTCTTCATAAAAGAAACGAGAGGAAAAGAAAATATCTTTGATTATGATGTTATTAACATTAAGTTAAAAGGCAATTAAACGTACTTAAAAATGCACTCCTCATCAATAGTATTGAATATTGATCACTTTGGAGGGGGAAAAAGATATATGACATTAGTCAATGTAATGGGGGTAATTATTGAGTTTTCTTATCTAGTGTTCTTGTTAACATGTATTTAATTATCAGAAATTAATCGGCTTCTACATAACAGGCAGAAAAAGCAGCAAATGCAGAATGTAAAGCAGATGGATGGTTACAGTTCGAGGAGACAGAATTACAGCAAAGGAGAAACCTCGTAGAAAGAAAAAACAGGTTGCAAATGATGAATTTGTCTGGTTCATCCTCTCACACTAAGCTAATAAACTCTACTCATACACAAATGGATCAAAATCGCATGAAGTTTCAAGATTTTAACATTTCAAACCACAAGATCCCGTGGCGGAAATCTGTGGTGCACGAGCACGAGCCCTATAAGCTAATAAACTCTACTCATACAGCAATGGACCCCAATCGCATGAAGTTTCAAGATTTTAACATTTCAAACCACAAGATCCCGTGGCGGAATTCTGTGGTGCACGAGCGCGAGCCCTGTAGTGTACAATGTTCTGACAATTGTAGGGAATCCGAAACCCTCCTATTGTTTCCACTTCGAAGCTGCCATGAAAATGAAGGTGCTTTTGACAATGACATAGAGGTTTCAGCTGCAGCCATAAGTTCTGATTTCGGTGCTCAATACCAATTTTTTGAGTTCCTCCCTTTGAAGAATTAAAAGGGGTGCTTTGAAGAATTTGTTGTTTTTGATGTAACATTTCGTCAAGGTTTCAATGACAGTAGGTTGTATGTAAAAATGTAGCCTTAAATTGCATTTGGACCATATTGGACAAATATAGGAGGAACTATTACCCTGCAGGGTCTATGTTGACAGGAGTAGACAACAACATGTTTCATCCTCGTCCATGTTAACAAGGAGTTATACAATTAGAGAAAGATATTAAAATCTTACCTCTAGAATTATAGAATGAATAGAAAAAATGAAATTAATTAAGCATACATACGCGAGCATTTCTACGATCCTTTACAACTTGGATAATTCTTAAATCAATATTGCTATATGTACATCAAGTTTGACGTTGTTGTGAAGAGGTAGCTTTTTATACATTGATTTTAACAACTTTCAACAATTAATGACATAGATTTTGGCGCATCACACGTTGTCAACGTTATTGTGCATTTCGAATGTACAACTAGCATAATTGTTCTTAAATAGTATATAATGTTGTCGATTTTGTGACTCAACTATATGAAATTTGAATATTATATTGGAATTTACTTAATCATACACAACGAAATTTAAACAACTTTAATTCACACAGTGGATCTTTTTTTTTTTTTTGTTTAGATAGAAACCGTGATAAGAATTATACATTTAGTTAATTTTGCGAAGTTCTTTGACAATCTTCGAACACGTACTGTCACAATCTGCATATCACAACTCTCTGGTTATTTAGCATCCAATGATAATCCACACAAGAGAACAAGAATAAATGAATTATGATTTCATTTTACTTATGCTTGCAAGATAATGAATTTGTGTTATGATTTTTCAAACCCCAACAGGTTATTAATAAAAATTCAAGTGAGTTTGACTCATCCATTAAACTTGATCCGGTACAATGTTTAATTAATCCAATTAATTAAAATTGATCCATAAATTAACTAATCTAATTAAGAGTATCTTCAATAGACTTTTAAAATATAAGATACTCTCTATTTTAAAGAGTCAACCCTTAAAATTATACTTAAAGATGCTTTTTAAATTAACATTTTAATTTAGAGAATGATTCTAGCTCTCCAAGACACTATTTAAATTAACATTTTAATTTAGAAAATGAATTTGACTATCTAAATTTGGAGAGCTAAACACACTCTCTATAATTTAATGTATTCAAAATATTTCTTTTTCAATTAAGAAAATAATCCAATAATTTAGAGGAAAGATAGTGAAAATAAAAGTAGGCAAAAATGATAAATATTTTTTTGGGATTAGTAAAATTAAGTTTAAAGTAAGGATTTTATAGGAATACTAAATTTTTTTACTCTCTAAATTTATAGATGATATTTAAATTGTAGAATATGCTCTTCTTTTGAAAATATTCTAATTAACTTAGGCACATTAATAAGCAACTTCATTAATTCATTAATTCTACAAAATGTCCAACAATTGTGAATTAATTAATTAGTAATATCATTCTTCAAATTTTCCTTATTGTGTGTGATCTATTGGGTTTTCAATCATGATATCTAATGACATGAATTATTATTTTGATCTAATCAAAATAAGATAAATTAAAATACCCTTTTAATTTATCATAAATTCACCAAAATTAATTAATTCACATTCATCGTCCCATAATGACATCGAGCAATGTGTCAATGTAATACACTTGATTGGAAGTGTAACAAAGCCAAACTTATTCGTTTACCATAAAACTATAATCTCTTTAATAATATAATCCGATCAATTACGAAATATGAAATTTTGTCAATCTTGATCATCGATCATATCCGACATCTCACTCTTAAGTCAATATAAGTCAAAAATTCTTTTCAATTTATGAGCACATCTTGGCCAAGAATTTCATTATCAATTTAATTGAATGAAATTTAGATCATAATCTATTACTATCTAACATAATGAATCATCCATTGATCATCCACAACCTTTATATGATTTTGACATATTTGAATGATGTTGTATTAGCGTCTTTTGGCAAAAAAAAAATATCCAACATCACCAAAATATGATCGTCTTCACGTAAGGTACTATGATGACCTCAAATTAAATGACCAATTATACTACTGAACATTAGAAATTAAATACTTACACTCAGATAGTTATCCATGTGGAATCTCTCGAGTGAGTCTCTAATGTTTTGTTCTTATAGCAAAACATTCGCGCGTCCATTTATATGCCAATACATTTTTACTTATGAGATCAGTTATTCACTTTATAAGTGAGAAATGTCACATGTAGTGCTCTATCCATAATAACGATATACGTATCTTATCATTACTTACGACCATTAGGGATGTCAATGGGTCGAGCCGAGCTGGCTTGGCCCATACCCACAAGAGCTCGGCTCGTGCGAGCTGAAGCTCGACTCGTTGGATTTTGGGCGAGCTCGACTCGTACTCGAGCTGGCCCAAGGCGAGCCACTCGCTGATCTGCTCGCCGAGCCTGCTCGTAGGCTCATCCTATAATTCCCTCCTACATTTTTTTTAAAATCATAAGAACAAAATTTTATTTGTTGAGTTTTGTTTTTTGTTTACCCTTTTATAATAAGCTAATAAACTCTACTCATACACCAATGGATCCCAATCGCATGAAGTTTCAAGATTTTAACATTTCAAACCACAAGATCCCGTGGCGGAATTCTGTGGTGCACGAGCACGAGCCCTGTAGTGTACAATGTTCTGACAATTGTAGGGAATCCGAAACCCTCCTATTGTTTCCACTTCAAAGCTGCCATGAAAATGAAGGTGCTTTTGACAATGACATAGAGGTTTCAGCTGCAGCCATAAGTTCTGATTTCGGTGCTCAATACCAATTTTTTGAGTTCCTCCCTTTGAAGAATTAAAAGGGGTGCTTCGAAGAATTTGTTGTTTTTGATGTAACATTTCGTCAAGGTTTCGATGACAGTAGGTTGTATGTAAAAATGTAGCCTTAAATTGCATTTGGACCATATTGGACAAATATAGGAGGAACTATTACCCTGCAGGGTCGATGTTGACAGGAGTAGACAACAACATGTTTCATCCTCGTCCATGCTAACAAGGAGTTATACAATTAGAGAAAGACATTAAAATCTTACCTCTAGAATTATAGAATGAAAAGAAAAAATGAAATTAATTAAGCATACATACGCGAGCATTACTACGATTCTTTACAACTTGGATAATTCTTAAATCAATCTTGCTATATGTACACCAAGTTTGACGTTGTTGTGAAGATGTAGCTTTTTATACATTGATTTTAACAACTTTCAACAATTAATGACATAGATTTTGGCACATCACACGTTGTCAACGTTATTGTGCATTTCGAATGTACAACTAAAATAATTGTTCTTCAATAGTATATAATGTTGTCGATTTTGTGACTCAAATATATGAAATTTGAATAGTATATTGGAATTTACTTAATCATACACAACGAAATTTAAACAATTTTAATTCACACAGTGGTTCTTCTTTTTGTTTAGATAGAAACCGTGATAAGAATTATACATTTAGTTAATTTTGCGAAGTTCTTTGACAATTTTCGAACACGTACTGTCGCAATCTGCATATCACAACTCTCTGGTTATTTAGCATCCAATGATAATCCACACAAGAGAACAAGAATAAATGAATTATGATTTCATTTTACTTATGCTTGCAAGATAACGAATATGTGTTATGATTTTTCAAACCCCAACAGGTTATTAATAAAAATTCAAGTGAGTTTGACTCATCCATTAAACTTGATCCGGTACAATGTTTAATTAATCCAATTAATTAAACTTGATCCATAAATTAACTAATCTGATTAAGAGTATCTTCAATAGACTTTTAAAATATAAGATGTTCTCTATTTTAAAGAATCAATCCTTAAAATTATACTTAAAGAGACCTTTTAAATTAACATTTTAATTTAGAGAATGATTTTAGCTTTCTAAGAGACTCTTTAAATTAACATTTTAATTTAGAAAATGAATTTGACTATCTAAATTTGAAGAGCTAAACACACTCTCTATAACTTAATGTATTCAAAATATTTCGTTTTCAATTAAGAAAATAATCCAATAATTTAGAGGAAAGATAGTGAAAATAAAAGATAGGAAAAAATGATAAATATTTTTTTGGGATTAGTAAAATTAAGTTTAAAAATAAGGATTTTATTGGAATACTAAATTTTTTTACTCTCTAAATTTATAGATGATATCTAAATTGTAGAATATGCTCTTTAAAACTAGAGAGTCTTTTGAAAATATTCTAATTAACTTAGGCCCATTAATAAGCAACTTAATTAATTCATTAATTCTACAAAATATTCAACAATTGTCAATTAATTAATTAGTAATATCATTCTTCAAATTTTCCTTATTGTGTGTGATCTATTGGGTTTTCAATCATGATATCTAATGACGTGAATTATTATTCTGATCTAATCAAAATAAGATAAATTAAAATACCCTTTTAATTTATCATAAATTCACCGAAATTAATTAATTCACATTCATCATCCCATAATGACATTGAGCAATGTGTCAATGTAATACACTTGATTGGAAGTGTAACAAAACCAAACTTATTCGTTTACTATAAAACTATAATCTCTTTAATAATATGATCCGATCAATTACAAAATATGAAATTTTGTCAATCTTGATCATCGATCATATCCGACATCTCACTCTTAAGTCAATATAAGTCAAAAATTCTTTTCAATTTATGAGCACATCTTGGCCAAGAATTTCATTATCTCTTACTATTTAACATAATGAATCATCCATTGATCATCCACAACCTTTATATGATTTTGACATATTTGAATGATGTTGTATTAGCGTCTTTTGGCAGAAAAATATCCAACATCACCAAAATATGATCGTCTTCACGTAAGGTACTATGATGACCTCAAGTTAAATAACCAATTATACTACTAAACATTAGAAATTAAATACTTACATTCAGATAGTTATCCATGTGGAATCTCTCGAGTGAGTC